AATGGATAATCTGCTGTCAACAAGCACTGAAATAATAATAAAAAATGTTTACACCATTTTGAGATTAAGTTAACGGTATCATTGCTCTTTTCATTTACGAGACACACACCAAGAAGCATTTCGTCTGAAAATCGTCTCCTTTAGAGAATTTGTTAACTTACTTGCCCTTCCCAACCTAACAAACAAACTACAAATTAAATCTGCCTGCAAAAATACGCAGTTGGACTACACACGGGTATGGTGTTAAGCACAGCCAGGCCTCAAGGGACAGTGGAAGTTACATACCCAAACCATAACACATGAAGTGCTAAAAACTTTAAACATTTGAAACGCATACATTTTATTACATGTAATAAAAACAAGAAATAATACACTGTGTTGCTGAATAAAGCAACTCTCTCTGAAAGCTGAATTATGACTGGATTTGCATGAGCGCTCTTCTGACCTGTAGCCACCAGTGCATTTGACTGCTCTTCAGTTATTCTTCGATGTGCCCAAGAAAGTCGCGTTATTTCTAAGTGGATAATTGACACCTGTCCACGAGATTTGCTAGAGGACTAATCGATCCAAAGGCCTGTTCACTAGTTGCACATTTTTTTTACACGAATTAGCAAAATGGCTCATTCTAACCGCCGGCCTTTCGACCTTCCTCCATTTCGGCCCGAGTTTCCTTTTTTAAAACGTAGACGTCAGTTTGAATGTTCAGGCTCGTTCTTCGGACAAAAACGATAAACAAATAAACCAGAAATGTCCGTTCTAAATGTGTTTATCTTTACCCCCTATTAAATGAATGGAATTAAAATTGAGTCGTTTTCCAACAACGAGTTAGATCGTGAGCTCAGCCTCAAGGGTCTAGTGAACTGATGTCTACATTTCCGCAGAAGACATTTACCTAAAGTGTATTTACAGCTACTAAATAACAAAGATAGCTATAGTCCTTGGTAATGCTATATCTCCCTTCCTATTTAATAGAATGCGACACCTTCGGTATTTTTCCCCTTAGAATACGTAGCTCGGGGCAAGCAGAAGATCTGCTCCAGCCAGCAGTCTGTCTTCTACAAAGGCCAAAGAGGAGCCCGGTACTCCCGCCACCCCGAGTTCCCCCACATCTTGGAATAATCAGGCCAATTAGTGCAGGTCGTGGCAGCAAGCTCTCGGGTTAGCGGTGGGAGGCTGTGAAAATAGGGGCCAGCTATTACAAGAAACGCGATCCCCATTCATCAGTATTGTAATAATCACCACTCAGACTAGCTACACGGGCCTGGCGAAGCTCTGATCAAAATGATCCGTGGAAGCAAGAGGTTTACAAATACTGTCAGCCTAAGACTTGTACCTTGATTCAGTCTGTCACTCCTGGGGTCCCCCTCCTCCCCTTTCCACAAATCCAGAACTCGATTGAATTTGGAGGGCCCGGGCGCTGCGACTCGCCGCGCTCGCTTCCTCCGGCGGGAGTTGATTTTAATTATTATTTTAACCCCGTAGGGATCCGAGAGGGACAGCAATAATTTACTTGACCATCAAAAACAACGAATAGGGATCAGAATGTCCTGGAGATTCTGTGATAATTCTCTGCCTGGACAGGCAACACAATAAATATATATACTGTACACAAGACACAAATGTACTGTACTGTATATGCATAAATTGTAGCCAACTGTTATTTGTACTTCTCCTCAAAGAAAGGTTCAATATATTGCAATTCTAAAGCAAACCAAAGCGCTTTCTGAAGTGGAAAATTTTAAATAACCACCAGGGCAGAACACAGAAGTGCTCTGAACATCGGCTTTATTACTAAGAGTTTAGAAGACTTGGTTATTATATATTAAGTAGTTCTCTGTTCCCTCCCAGACTGAAGAACGGAAGCTAAGTTTAAAAGCTGTCAAAAAGAAGCAGTGCGAGTGTTCAAATGCTTTCTACACATAATCAGCCGACTTTTACAGTACAAATTTTCATCTGATAAAATACTTTCTTCAGTGCAGTTTTATGAGAATTTGAACTAGTCCCCTAAAATAAGTAGCTGTTAATTGTGGCGTGAGAACATAAATTGTTTATTTAATGTCTGTCTGAATCTATTTTTTGCTCTTTTCGTAGTTTTAGTTTCAGTCATGGTATTGAAATTACAAAATTACAAGATATTAAAATACTTATTCACCTATTTCTGTGAATTTCTATATCTACCTGTGTTTTGCCATATGCAAACACACAATTATTATATTGTCTTGAGCTCTTTCCGTTAAGCTTTTTACTTAGGAAAACGCGAGATTAAACAGATTAAACTAGCTTTACACAATAGTATTTGATAGATAGCGAGACGGGCATCACAAACAATAAGGTAAACGATCACACGGACTGTACAGGCAGTTTAAAGACTACAAATCCTTTTGTATGCAGTTGAATTCTTCCAGCGTTTCACCTGTCCGACATCACAGCAACTTTTAATTGTTCAGTTTTTGAAACACAAGCCGCAAGTGAGAGGCAGTATCCCAAAGCAATACTCACGGGGCCATGACATCAGAAATGTAATTACATAGAAGTTTTAGTCCTGCTTTTCCTGTTAATTCACCTGTTTGCCTTGCCTTACGAATGATATGTTTTTAGTTCTCAAATAACTCTACTTTGTTACTTTGTTTTTTTGGTATAATTAGGCTGGATTTAGAGTATTATGTTTTCTCCAAATGTATACTTGTGTATTCTGTAATATCTTGTCTGTAATGAATATGTATTTATTTCTATTTATTTTAAGAGGGGCGATCTTAAAATTATCTAATTAATAATGTATGCCCCTTTGAAGAGATGGGAGTAGTCACAGGCATAGCAAAGAAACGATGGTTATTGCAATGAACGTTCGGGATTTTTTTTTCCAAAGAAAAGTCATCATCGTAAATTTATGGATCTGAAGACTAGACCTGCGTGTTAGCTGTAGCGTGGGAGGTATGATAGATCTTCCTAGTCTTTCTTTTCACACCAAGCAAAATGCAGCACCAGTATGTAATTTGTCCTGATTTAAGTGGCCATGGAACATATAATTCAGTTCATATTATTGTTCTGCAAAATGCAGGTGAACGCTTCTTAAGTGATGTTTGCACAAGTTATAAGGAAAGTGGTAGTTGACATTGTGTTAGAAACTGCATCAGTTTGGAGTCGTTAGAAGCATATGTGTACAGGGATGTCGTGTTTTATTGCGTTTCCTGTAGCAAACAATACGCAGGCTACTCACATGCAAACTGCGTTACTACCTGAAGAGCCGCTAAGCTGAACAGAGGTCTTCTCTGTCTTCTCTGACTGCAGCGGCGAACCTATCATCTGCTGTTTGATCCTGGAAACCTCCTGCTTCCAGCGAGTACAAGAAGCAAGGTGAATAAAAGCGAAACAACCTGGAAAATGACGCAAAATTCAAAACAACGCACCTTTTATCTCTTGCCACTATACCACCCTTCCTATTTTAAAAACAAGCATCAGCGATTTTATAATTTCACATAACCCTTAGCTTTGTCAATCTTTCTTGTGGTTTAGCATAGTATTATTAAGGTCGAGATCTAAAGTAGCAGTGGAAGATGAAAGTCTGTAATCAGGTACAATTATACTTAAAGGACCGAAGTGAGAGAGGGAAAGACAGGAGACAGGAATCGACTCAGAAAACACTCTAAAGCATGTTTGCTATAAAAACAAATAGCACGAATCGGTCCATCGGTATCCTATAGGATAATAAAAAAAGTAAGCAATGCTAAGATCGAGCATTTAAGGTCTGTTGAAATACAATATTCTATAATTCCTTTTCTCGTGAGTAAAATAAGAATTTTTAAAAAGCTTTATTCTTATAAATCCATTAAGATAAAAACAACGCAGCTAGTATACAAGAAAAAGATTCAAGATTCAATTCGTTTTAAGAGCAGAAAGGACGAAACTGACACTATGTTATTTAGTAAATTCATTTAGTCATAAAAATAAATGAGGTAACTTATACAAGGTTGAAAACGGTCTCCTACCAGCGACTACGCAGAGTGGTCTTCCGTATTAAGGGCAGAAACTGTGAAGCTATTAGAGAACTTCACTCCTCGTCACAGCGATGTAGGTTGTAACTATTAGCTCAACCACTGTAATAAAGCAACTGTTCTGTGGATATCTGTATGTCCTGTAAAAACCATGAATTCGTTTTCCAGTTCAGAATATTGACACCTTTAAATGAAAGCTTTTTTCCAATTATATATTTAATTTAACACAGATCTTATGTTTATAATATATTGTAATATGTAATACATTTTACACAGAATCAATCTGCATACTTTAGCGATATTTCCCTGAATCCTGCAATTATTTTGAGCAGTCCTGAAAGATCCAGAACTTCCCTATATAAATCTGTAACGGTAAACACAAACATCATGTAGTGCAGAGAAAACTGACACTTCAATATTGCAGCAAGGGATATTTTGAAACAAAGGCCGCTCTCTTGTGTTTTAATCTCAGTTTTAATTTTAGGTGAATTAAAGGACTAGGATAAATTGTATGTATGGAGGCAAAAGTCGAAAAACTGTCAAGCTTTTTTAACATGAATGACCTTATGTTACTAGAATGGATTTTGGCAGATTTTGCACGCAAGAATCAGTGCAATCAATTTGCCAGTACAGTATGGGTGCGCACGGGTCTGTACTTTGGCGCCACCCGGCACAAGTGGAAAGATCACGGCACAGCAGCTTCTTGTTCTTTGGCTGCTTTGGGTGTCAGTCAAAGAAAAGAAAAAAATAAATAGGAAAAAAATCTCTAAGCAATATTTCAATCTGGAGGCGGGTTAAGAGTGGAGGGGAGCAATCTGTCAGCCGAGCCAGGGAGCCACCTCAAAGCATATCGGGTTACTTTGAATGACAGCGTAACCATGGCAAATAATTTGACTAAAACTATTGTCTTATCCTCACCATCCCCGGGTCAGATAACCAACCAATCACAGCTCACATAATCGCTTTTCTTGCCAGCTTAGAATAATATTATTAAAACAAGCGAGAGAGTCTAGTCTTTAGGAGTACGTTATGTTGAAACGGCATAGAAAAGGAAGCGATCAGCTTTGGAGGGACTAAAATCTCAGTTCTATAATATCTTAAAGGGATTGCCACAAACAAAGTATTTCTGAACAACACTAAGAAAAAGTTTTCGACTTCTCTTTTGGATTTTTATCAATGTGGTTTTGAAACAGGTTTTCCGCACAGATCGACGTACCGCTCAAGGACTTACAGGGACCGACCAGCGGGTTTTAATGTCGTAGTTTAAAAGAAGACGAAGAAAACGAGACAACAAACCCATTTATATATATAACTAAGTGACCATGTCCATGCTTCCAACATTTGGCTTTACGCAAGAACAAGTCGCGTGCGTCTGCGAGGTCCTTCAACAAGGAGGCAATATTGAACGACTCGGACGCTTTCTGTGGTCCCTACCTGCATGCGAACACCTTCACAAGAATGAAAGCGTCCTAAAAGCGAAGGCAGTGGTAGCTTTTCACAGGGGCAATTTCAGAGAGCTTTACAAAATCCTGGAGAGCCACCAGTTTTCGCCTCACAACCACCCCAAATTGCAGCAGCTCTGGCTGAAAGCGCACTACATCGAAGCGGAGAAACTGAGGGGCCGCCCTCTTGGGGCTGTGGGGAAGTACCGTGTCCGCAGAAAGTTCCCTTTGCCCCGGTCTATCTGGGACGGCGAGGAGACCAGTTATTGCTTTAAGGAAAAGAGCCGGAGCGTTCTGAGGGAGTGGTACACTCACAATCCGTACCCTTCTCCTCGGGAAAAGAGGGAGTTAGCGGAGGCTACAGGATTGACTACAACTCAAGTAAGCAACTGGTTCAAAAACAGGAGGCAAAGGGACCGCGCCGCTGAGGCCAAGGAGAGGTACAAGTAAATACAATTCTCTTTCCTACAGGACCTCTTCTTCGTGTAGTCATAAACAAAAATTGTAAACGGTCTTAAATATAGCTTTTAGGAAAGGCATTGCTTTTCTATAAAAGGAAACTAAGGAACTCCCGGAATCACCTTATGAATTAAATATATGTAATTGGAAACAAGGCAGGGCGACAACATATAGATGGAAATGTTCACGTTCTAATGAATATATGATATTCAATGTTAAAAATATCTCATTTAAGAACATTATATGTAATTTGTGCCTATATACATATTGTAATACGAAACGGAGCAAGCTTTCTATATCCACTGTATTTTATCGAATAATTTAAGTGGCTCTCAAGGCTTAATTTATATTAGCCCTTGGTAATCTATAAAAGCCATTCGTTTATATTAAGGGCTCCATTAAAATTGAATGATAGGGTCATCTGTATATTTATACATAATTTGAATGTGCGGTACTGCTCAGTTTTCCATGTAAGACCTTACTTTAAAACCGCTTAATAAAGAGCAACTAAATTACTGAATTTAAAAACTAAAATTATTGAAGGCAAATATTTCCCGTGAAGAAAGTGTTGTAATCTTTTTCTTCTCTTACTATTGAATGAAGAACGCACAAAAATGATTTTGAGGCAAAATACGCCTTAAGTGTAGTTTCAAAATGCATTTAGAAAATTATAATAGTCGGGTCTAAAGGCGTACAACCTTTCAGTTAGGTGTTCTCCGAAAAGATGGGTGTCTTGTTTCGGCATCACCCGGGGGCGACTAATTCAATGCTGGAAACCTTACCCCGTCAACCCTCCATTTGTATTTTACATTTCTACATCTCAGTGATGTCTAGTTCGCAGACTTGTAAAATAAAGTTTAGACATTGTAATTTTACCAAATAAATTCACGTATTTTATATATGCGTATAAGAACATGAAGTGTTGCCATATTTACATGTATAGCATACACTTTTCTTTGAAAACTTGAGGCAGTTATTGTCAGCTGACATTCTCTTAAACACAGCCTGCAAAGATTACAGTAATTAAAGAACTTTAAATTACAGTATTTTTCTGATCATATTGTGTGTAAAATGTTTTGTATTATTAGAAGGCTCCATTTCCAAAAAAAAAAAGGGGTGCTTTGTTAAGTTTAAATTAGGGGGGAAATACGAAAATTAATAATTTTGTTTTCGAGAAGGAGGAATCTGACTATCTTAAAAACAGAAAAAGGGAAAGCTCTTTTCCGCTAATTTACCAACTATTGTGGAAGAAGCAACAAAAATGTTTAGTAAGGTATGTTTATCCTACAAATCCAAACCACGTGCAAGGCTTTATCTAGCCTATATCAAAATCCTCCTTCACAAAAGCTAAACTCACGAGATACTGTATATGTAACAGGTACCGTCCGTTCAGCAGTTTCATATTTATAACAAATTTCCCACGTAGATTTACATTTGCCTATAGACAAGTGAATGTACTCCAAGAAACAAAATGGCCTAAATTATCCGAGTTCTTTTGCAAGACAGAACGTGTAACTGGGTAGTTTTCATTAATTGCTCGAAAACACCACGGCATCCGTAACATGCATCATTTCATAATAAAAAAAATCTCTTCCTAGTCCTCAAAGGTGCTAGAGAGTGATTTGTTTTAATATATAAATCAATCAGGAATCACACTCAAAAAGTGATTTTTCTATCGCGTTTGCAAGTTCGAACGAAAGAAAAACGAAATGACAGATATTTCAGTAACTTGATTTCTGCGGAAACATAAGCATTTTAGAGACCAACAAACTATTTACAGGTTTTGAACTTCTCGAATAATATATTATATACTATTTAACTATGCAGGTTTGACAGCATTTACGCAATTGTATTTCTAAAATAGTAACACCAGTGTGAAAATAATTTTAAATCGTCCAGAGATTTTTACTCAGGGAATGTCTTTATTTGCTTTAACGTGTTTTTATTGACATATCTTAGCAGCCCGTTCTAAATGTTTAATGATTCCCAGGAATGTTACTGTAAGACTTAGAAAAGCACATTTAATTGAGAGTCCTGCTGTTACAGCCTATGAGCTGTAACAGTATGAGAATATTTTTTTGTGGGGGTGGATTGGGTTGTACGCATTATTCTGATTTTTCTCATTTCCTTCCTGCAGGGAAAATAACGAGAACTCGAACTCTAACAGCCATAATCCATTGACTTCTTCCATGAATGGAAATAAAACAGTTTTGGGGAGCTCGGACGACGATAAAACTCCTTCGGGGACCCCCGATCACACCTCCTCAAGTCCGGCTTTGCTTCTAACCTCAAACTCCGGGCTTCCACCTCTGCACGGCCTTGCGCCGCCACCGGGTCCTAGTGCAATTCCGGTACCCAACACAGACCCTGTGCACCATCACACTTTACACGACACTATACTCAACCCAATGTCGTCCAACCTGGTCGACCTCGGCTCTTAAAACCCCAGGATCCTATTTTTAAAGACTCTAAAGAGAAAGGGACGAATTTTTATTCTCTTCTGACACTTAAGTGATGTACAAAAAAACATTAGTGGATATTTTGTCATCCCGGGAGAGGTGAGATGGTAGGAGTTTTTAAAGGTATTGTATTAGAATGTAATAACAAGCTATATATGACATTTGGGGGAGTCTTACTATTTTTTGATCAGGACTGATTTCAATAGATCAGTTTTCACCCAGTCGGTCTACCCCTAACCCCCTATCCATATGTTTACATACTGCAGATTTTCAAAAATGCCATGAGTTTTATTTTGTACGGGGTTTAATACTGGACATTTTATGATGAGGAAGCCAGTCTATGAAGCAAGAATTATAATCTTTTTTCCTTGTATATTATTTTGGAAACCTACTGCATGTAAACATTGCGAATAATAAAAAAAATCGATCCCATCATAGTTTCATATTTATATGCCATTTACAATAAAACCAAACATTTGAACTTATCATCCAAAGAAAGTGTCTCAATTTCCTCAAAGGAATTTGCTCCGAAGTTTCTTGTTGGTGGAATGATTCCTGCGTTGTGTATTGTTTATAAAAGAGTAATAATATTAAGGCATTCATGCTATAAAAGTGGAATCCTCGCACAAACCAATCTAGTACACGCGTGTCAAATTATAGAAATGTATATGGGATCACGAATATGAATTGACGAATTGAAAAACGTGATCTAAATAATTTAGCTTGTTTCTTAAGATTCTGATCAAACATTTTTTAGTATTAAGAGTTAATACCCTTTTATCGTTTTGGATTTGTTGTGAGACAATACCGTGACCTGCAAAGGTTATACAGCCTGGGCACAATTAGCTTCCTGACCTGTATTTTCTATCTTTTGTCCTGGGGGGTTGGACGGACATACAAACGGAATCATACTGTATTTAAAAATATATTTTTTTAAAAGAGCACTGTTTTTGGTTGGATATTACAAGGCCAATGGTAACCTTAATGGTAACCTTACCTAATGGTAACCTTAAGATCTTGAAGATCGGTGCATGTTAATTAGACTTCATTTTCGAAGGATAATTTTCAGCAATACACAATTTAATACCGAAGACAGCTTTGTGTTACAATAAGCTTATCCGGGGTTTTCTTAAAAAGCAAAATGCAGTATTTAATGTTGTGCTCGAAGCATTTTGTGTCTCCTGCCAATATTGTACGTACGCGTAATCAAAATCAATTATAAAACATTGACAATCGCCGGATCCATATTTTATCAGAATATTATACGACACATAAAATAGACCACAGTATTTTTGTCATCTCTCAACGTACTCATTTTGACATTTTGTACAGTACATACGTGAATCAACCGCATTGTCTATTATTACTTTTGTTAAAAAGCATTGATTTTTTTTTTTAAATGCCGTAAATCAACTTGAAATTATTTAGAATTTCTGTAACCGTTTCGAGTTTATGCTCAATTGACCTCTCCGGCAGCCCGCTGTTCAGCAAGTGTAGCTAAAACAAGTTTAATTGTGCGTGATAGGTCGGAAGTCATTAAAGATGTATGGAAGTACACTAGAGTCGTAAGTCCTTGTTTTTAACGATCGGGACTTTTTCAATACAGTTAAAGCAGCCTAGTCATTGTTATTAGGAGTTTCAGACTGAAACTTTAAAAGACGCGGAAGATGAAGACAATGCTGTATTGTAAGAGCAGTAAGATGTATATAATGACAATTGCTGTAACAGAACAGCAATTGTCAGCGTCTAAAGTGTCTAAAATCACCAGATATTTCTCAACAAAATTCTCTTAATGTCTTATATTAAAGCCGATTCCCATGGTGAGCACACCTCACAAAACAGTACACAATCGGTCGAGACAGGCTAGAACACAACAGAGGTTGACTGTTAAAAGAGCTGCCGTTGTCTCTTGGTCGAAGACGTTACCATAGCGCTAATGACAGCATGTCATGTCACTTGATGTTAGTATTGATTGTGTGCTTGTATTTCAAAACAATGTTACTTATCAATCATCCCATCAAATCATGGCTTGCCGTTTTATGGTGAACATCATTTCAAGAAGCGAGTATTTCATGTAGTTCTCAGTTGTTCGAAATGTATAAAGCAGCTTTGTGGATGTAGGGAAGAACTCTTTAAATTGGACAGATAAGGCTGTCGTGCGATCATTGACGGATGAGACCATGTATCTAATGAGCACTGCATTGCTATCAATGTCAGTATTTACTGTAATAAACAATATCATACAAAATATCGAAAACGAATGACAGTTTGTTATACATACTGTATAGGCCAGTGTTCTTTTTAGAGTACAAAAAGACATGCATTTATTTCTTCCCAGACTGTCTCTCTATGTGTATTTTGTAACAATAAGTAAAGTTCTAATGAAATTCACGAAACTGAAATGATCGAAAATGCAAAGTTTAAGAACACTCTCATTTTTTATTTTTAATCCCACGGAGGATCGATACCCTGTATGGCCACTGTATTAATAGTTAGGCTTAAATACATTTGAATACTGATTGGTGGTAGTATTGGTGGTAGTGAACAATTGCATTCGAGATCCCTTTTTCTGCCCTTGAATCCGAACGAGCTAATCTGCAGTATTTTATACGGTTTGATGGAGTAATGTAATACAGTACGTGCTCTGTGGAACAACTTTCTAAACCTTATGCGGAGTTTTTTGTAACTAAGCTCTAGCACAATGAATACCATTCGTTTTTGTACCAGGTTTTGAAGCATTTATTTATACCCAAAGCAAATTCTATTTATAGGATGGTGTGTTGTCTAATATAACCATATACGACCAACATGAATAGTTTTTTACTTTCTAACATTACACCAGAAAAATTAAAGCGAGCTGACTTCTGCTTAGTATTACAAACTAAGCTCTCAAAGCATTTGGCTTGCGGATCAAACACAACACATTTTAGTGTAACTTTCCTGTAGGCATTGCAACAAATTTTACTTTTATATAATAAACGCTTGTAGTTTGTGCAAATGTTGTTAATGTGAGCAGGCATCCCAAAGACACTGACTGTGACAATGACCGCTGCAAAAAGCGAGCGGTAATCAGCCCCTTGTACCCAATGAAGTGTTTATAAAACATTCCATTACAATTAACAGGCGTCTGAGAACGGTCATAGGCTGTAACTACCGCGCCTAGGAAGAAGATATACATCACATAATTGTGTTTTGTTGGAATTAAAAAAAAATGTCTGTAGTATCACAAGCTTTACATCTGCGTTTATGTCTCACTCTGAAGCCCGCTGTTTTTACACAGGGGCTTCTATTTTTCTTCAGGAAGGTTGTCCATGCATGGACGTGTAAACTAGTGGATCCTAATAGATACCCTATTTGAATTCACGTACGTGACATTTTTAAATTATGTTTTCCCTGTTCGTTAAGGGGGAATACATTACAAACACAAATGTAATCCTCAAACATATTAATCTGCGTTTTTACAAATTTTTAAATGAATTAATAAGGAGGCACACATTCAAAATCTTGTCCATAAATGACAGGATGCCATTTGGCATAAGATGAGAAAACCTCATCCCGATATATGCGTCTAATCACAGCAAACCCTAGTAATTGTAACAGTCGTTTGCCCGGAGCATTACTGATATCATTTGTCAGGAGAATTAATTATAGACGTGCTGGCATGCAGGATGGGTTATATAAAGTAGGGAAACCTCTCAGCTTCACACAATAGTATGGGAAGGAGGTGGTTTAAAAAATGGCTGCTTACAGTAGCTTCGATTTACATATTCTTTCTTTTTAAAACACTTGCTCGTTTTAAATTCAACAAAACAGAACATACCAAAGAAATATCGATAGCCATTACATAGTTTTTAAAATGAAGGACTTAATGAATTGATTCTTTAATTTCCATCGGGTCTCAATGGCTCCAATTGACAGTGATACACATTGTGAGTGGTGAAGAAATACGTATTTGTTCGTATTACTGAAATGTGATATCGACATAAAACAAAAAGTAGTTTGTATTAATTTATTAAATGTTTTTTTTTTCTTCATTACCAAGGCGATCGTATCCACAAACAAAAATACAAACTTTTAAAGTGAATGCTACGTTTTATCCCCAGTTTTTATTGTGTGATAGTCAAACTCGAAGGCATAATGTACATTTTATACCAACAGAATATGCTTTTCGGCTTTCAATGCATGGGGCTGGTTTGCGTTTTAATTCTTTACACTAAATGTACCATAAAATTAACTTTATATACTGGTGTAATGGAAACTGTCATCTCTTATACTGCCGTAGTACTGATGGTGAGTTAGCGAAAAGGTATTTTAAAGGCAGTTTTGACTTTATAGCAACTAAAAATACGTACTTGTTATACAATATATAAAAGCTGATAAAAAGTTTGAGGGATGTAGTATCTGAACAAGAGTGGAATTTCACTTTCGAGATTATCAGAAGAAAACAGACTGAAGCTACACCCTGACAGTTCCAGCAACTACGATTTCTGTAGTGTTATACTAGGCTGTCAAACATAAGCAAGCCAACTATTTTTATGTTTTTGATCACAGGCCGTATAGTTAGTGTGCTGTATTCATATCTAAAATCTGAAAGGCGATAACCTTTTCTGAATGTACTCCACAGCTTAGGCGTTTATGCTCTTGAACGTCCACTGACAGCAAAGCGATTCTGTGAATCAGGTCTCACCATGTACAAAGTTGTGGGGCGTAAATACTATTCGTATTATGTCAAAAAAAATGAAATCACCAAAATCAGTGTGTGACAGAATTAAACGTTAACAATTTTCCTTTTGTAGTTTTGTACTTTCAGGTTATTAAATTGCCAGTCGCCATTATCTTTGTGTTAACGTGTAACCTTTAAACACAAAGTAGCTGTTAACACTGCGTACCTGTACGTCTGAGGTTACACGATTCCGTTAAAATGCTTTACTTTTCCATCGTGTTCTGCACGTATTTTGCCTTCACGGAGATTAAAGAGAACGGAGCACCGCTGTGGTGTAGGCACAGCGCGTCAGGTGTGTAATGCAAATCTCAAACCAAAAAACAGTTCTATGCGATTAATTGTTGAATGCATTCTCCTTATATTTCTCGAATCTACGCTTACGTGATCAGTGCCTTTTGTGTGGTTTATGAGACACCTATGTGCATCAAAATCGTCTTTGGAAATAAGTTCTAAGGGAGAGTGCGATGTCCATCCTGTCCCTTAGGCTTTTGTCCGTCAGCCTATCATGACTGGTGAAATGAGTTAGCATGAGTATGAGATGTAAAATTCCCTTTAAAACTGTTAAACTTGATTAAACCCGCTGCTACTGTTCATAGGAGACACATGCCAAGTAAGAATTATTCGAAGGAATTAATAACATTATAGGCAATAAATAAAGACACCTTAGTACCCTTTTCTACGTACTGCACTTTTTCTGATAGGGATATGAGCTCACTGGAGAGCTGAAGTGTAATGTTATTAAAGTCACACTAAAGATAGCAT